CACTCAGATGAATTTTCAGACTGCCCCAACATGCCCAGGTTTTGACCCCCGCTAAGGATCTCACTGATTGGCAGATCAAAGACAGCCCAATCCGACACCTAGTAAAGTATCATAATCGAGTCTAGGGGTTAGGTGTAACTTTCCAGTTTTTCCCATCTGTCTCTAAGGTCCAGCATAATACTGGAAATCTAGTCCGATTTAAGGATTCGAGTAATCCCATACTGCATGATCCTTGGGTCTTACCCTGGTGGCCGAGACAGGCCATCCCAACACTTGGCAGCACACCGGTATCAGCCTTGGCTAGATAAATCTCCCCAGATTTATCCAATGACTGTGAACATTTAAAACTAACACGAGTCTCATTAAGTGTCCAGTTTTAGGGTCTTACACAAAATCATACCAAACAACATGAATCAAACATGCACTTTATTTATTTACACTAAATATCAAAAGTACATCAAATCAGATTGAAGCTAAGGGCATACAAAACTGTCTAACAAAGGTTATATTGGATTGAGCTGGAACTTAGGCCTACCATTCCTAATTTGGCACACACTGGACCCGGCATGGTTGCAACTGGGGTAGTTAGATTATAAAATTGAATTTGGGCTATTTGGTTGGGGATACAAGTATACAACACATCATCAGATGGTACCAGATACCTGTATATGCTTAGTGTACTGGTTTCATATATGATATTGGATACTGCACATCTACTTTTAAACATACTCTAGCATTGGCACTTCCAAAATATGCAAATGGTATGTTTTAATAAATTATACTATATAAAAATATGCACATCTTTTTTTTATAAATATAAAAAATACACATCTTAGAAATTTAGTTAAATTTGGCAAGACATAAGTCTTGAGAAATGACATTTAACTTCAAAATCTAGATACAAACACATCATATATAAGCATATTATATTGGATACTTGTACCCGTATCCATGTCCAGGATTATAGGAAATGGAGAGCCATATCCCCATTTCCTGCATCCATGTCCGTATCCATATCTGTATCTGGCATCATAATCAACCTCCTGTTGTATAAATGAGTAATAAGCCAATTCTATATCAAATACAGTCTCCTTATTGCATGTGCCTGCATAAGCCATTTCCTGCTCTCCATTACATTTTGTGATAGTTCCACCATATCCTGTACAACCATGGGAAAAGGACCCATAAAGGCGAAAACAAGGCAGGACATACGGTCCATAAGTTTCACTTCTCCTCTAAGGTCAAAATTGGCTAGAATAGAGTTATACCCGGGCATATTCAGGACTGGATTTTGGTCACCTAATGACCTGTAATGGAGGTCTTCCATATTATAGGCATGATCTGGTCTCCATTCTGCTGATACCATTGAACTTATTTGTTACAGATTGGAAACAGATTATGTATTCTTCTTTTTTTTTTCTTTGTAAATCAAGAAAAAAATCATCTTACTGACAGAAAACATGTCATGTTTGTTTAGGTGGAATCTATGGACAGTAGTAATAGGTTTAGTTGACAAGTCATTCATTTTTTTTATATGGGTTTTTTGTATTTTATACTCTTCTCTATTTGATTTGTTGAAATTTACAGGTTCTTGGCTAATCAAATCTGGACATTCAACTTGGCAAATTCAAATTGGTATTTTACAGATCTATCAAATATCAAATTGAACTTAGCTATATCCCTACTTGATTCCAATCTATTCTTTCCAGATCTACTGCATATGTATAGGAAAACCTTGAGTTCATTCTATCTGTCAGATGAACCTCCTCTCAAGTCATCTATTTTGTGGAAAGCATGGACCTCTGTGGTCTCCACATCTACTACTTATAGAAGCTCTGGTATTTTATTTATCCAAATCATGCATAAGTCTTATGGAGGAAGACCCAAGAAGAAAATCTATCACAGAGTACATGAACTTGATAAAGTTATGGACCTTCAGAAGAAGCCATCAATTATCCTACAACTCAAAACCATTATCCAAAGCAAGAAAAACCACTTTCTTCTTGTTAGAGACCTTGAGAAAGAAGTTGGGTTTGTCCAGAAATGGAATTTTATGTCTGTGATTGAAAAATATCCTTCAATCTTTCATGTTAGTGGTGGAAAGGGAGCACCCATGTCAATTAGGCTGACAGAAAAGGCAGAAAAGATTGCTGCAGAAGAAGCCAAAGCTAGAGAATTAATGGAACCTATTTTGGTAAAGAATCTGAGGAAGCTATTAATGATGTCGATGGACTGTAGGATCCCTCTTGAGAAGATTGAATTCATCCAAGCTGAACTGGGTTTACCTAGGGATTTCAAGATGTCCTTGATTCCAAAGTACCCAGAATTTTTCTCTGTGAAAGACATCAATGGAAAACCTTACCTTCTCTTGGAATGTTGGGATTCTTCTCTAGCAATTACTGCACGAGAAGAAAAATTAGGTTATATTGCAGCTGGTGAAGCGAGCTTGAATTTCAATGGCTGCAATAAGGCCAAGATGTCTAGAGATGGTAACTTCTGTGGCCCTTTTGCTTTCCGTATGAATTTTCCTGCTGGTTTCAGACCCAACACAAAATATCTTGAAGAAATTCAGAAATGGCAGAAAATGCCCTTCCCTTCTCCATATCTGAATGCAAGAAGATTTGACCCTGCAGACCCAAAAGCTCGAAAACGTGCAGTTGCAGTGCTTCATGAACTCCTAAGTTTGACCATGGAGAAGAGGATGAATTCTGCTCAATTGGATGCATTCCATGCTGAATATCAATTACCATTTAAACTGTTGCTTTGTTTGGTTAAAAATCATGGCATCTTCTACATCACCAATAAAGGGGCAAGAAGTACAGTTTTTCTCAAGGAAGCTTATGATGGCTCAAATTTGATTGAGAAATGTTCTCTTATGAGATTCAATGATAAGTTTGTAGCACTCAGTGGTAGGAGAGATTACAATTTGAATGATGGAATGTCTTTATTGCAGGTTGATACATGAAACTGGAAAGTTATGATTTTTACTAATAGACATAGAGTCTTGTAAATAACATTTTTTTTTTTGGAATTCTATACTTACGCTCAATTAATTTTCCTTCCATGTTTCTTGAGCTCAGCTTACCTGTTCTGGTTTTCTTCTGGTTTACGCTGTGTTGATTTCTTCAACTTTTTTCTTGTATAGAGTGGGTGAACAATGGCACTTATTAATATTAGGGGTCTTTTTGTTGGAGTAATCAACAAAGAAGTCTAGACTTAGGAATTTTCATGACATCCAAATTGGGGCTGAAAAAGAGTCATGTTTTCCTCTCCTAATTTTTTTTCTTGAATAGACACATCCATAGACTCTACCTTCTAATCTGTATGTATCTTTTTTCCTATGCACACTTTGAATTAAAAAATGAAAAATTACAAAATTACTCTCACCTGCTTGAGACGTGGGTTGATTTGTCCATTGGGTCAATTAAAACGGGTTAGGTTGGATTGGATCATGTGTATCCCTTGGATCTGGATGTGATTTTAATTTTTCAGGTTTTTGTTTCTTTGCTTTCTCTGTTTCTGCCTCTATATCTATCTCTCAGTCAATGACCAAATTTCTCTCTCTCTTGGTCAGCAACCAGATTGCAGCAACAGCTCTCATCTCAATTTCTTCAACTAACCTGCCTTATTTGTTCTCAACTGATTCTTCTCCTTTGCCATGTGTCAGGTGGTTCTTTCATCATCATTTATGCTCCTTTGATGTAGGATGTATGCTCCATGTTACATCCTTTAAGTATCAATTTATTCTATAAATATGGCCTTCTTCTTTCTTGTTTTTTTCTTTTAATAAAATTTTCTTTTTATTATCAAAAGAAAATATGGGCTGCTTCTTCAAATTGCCCATATTGTACAAACCTTTTCCTAGAAATCGTGGGAATCATGCTCAGTGGTATTATTGCAGTGTTTTTTTTTTTGAGTCCACTCATGTTAATGACAACAGTCATTTTCTAGGTTTAAAACGTATGTTGTATTAATAACCACTCCATGTTTATATTTTTCATCTTCTGTTTTGAATTATATATTATACTGATGGTTCTGCTAAGACATCAGAATTTTAAGCTTCATCAGGTTCATCACATTGGATGTGATTATTAATCATTGATGAACTTTATCTATTTTTTCTGACTTAGGGCCCATTTTATGGCAGCTGAAATGGCTAAACTGAATGACTTATTGCTTTGTCTTTTAGTGGATAAAATATTAAAGAACAGCTTTGGTCATTAAGGAGCCCAATACCTCCTTAAAAACTTATTCACTGAAAAACAAAGCAATAAGTTTTTCAGTTCAGTCACTTCAGCTGTTAATGAATGTTCTCTTAGATTCTTCAGGCAGGCATAGAACCCAACTTCTGTTATACTTGTCCCATCATCATCATCGTCATCCAATCTTATCCAACTATATGGGTCGGCTGATGATTCCTGTTTCTATGTTAGATTTAAATCATTTTATTTTAATTTTATAATTTACTTTATACTCGAGAGGGAGTTCAAAATATAGAAGTAACCTTTCTCTTAAACCCCTATTCCCACCCAAACCCCTATAATTTAACTTTTATAATTTACTTTATACTCGAGAGGGAGTTCAAAATTTTATAATTTACTTTATTTTCTCTATGTATGATCAATGATGTTGGCAAGTGGCAATTGAGCATGGGTGCTGCAAAGCTATGTCTTTTAAGACATAATTGAATTTATTTGGGATATGCTGATGGAAGCCCCCAAGATTCATTAAAACTGGGGCTTTGCCTTGCTTTGCCCCGAATGGGGTGGGTTTTCCCCAACCTTAAACAGAGGCAAGGTGGAGATGGGGAAAATATTTTTTGTGTTGAATCGAGAAACAGGGAGAGGATGGGTTTTGCATATTTTCCTAAATCCGATGGTAAATTAGTAAAATATCCCTAGATTTAATATTGGTTTTTAAAATATCTCTAAGTTTTTCCTAAATTCTTAAAATCCTAGGATCCCATGATTCTATTTCTAAAGTGTCCCTAAAGTATTATAATTCAATTCCTAAAATACCACCAAATTCTCATAATCCCATTTGTAAGTTATCTACAAATTAAATAACTTTTAGATGGTTGCCTCGAGGTGGGGAAAATTCGGAGATTCTCCATCTCTGATGGGGAGTGGGTGCCCTGCCCTGAACCCGCCCCGTTGCCATTCCTAGCTACAACTTAGGCCCATGTTAATAGCAGCCCAGCAGCAGAAGATGCAACACAAGTCTTGCACTCAGTTCGTTTTGTGTACACCCGCAAACAGAAGAACACGTCAGCTTAATTGGTTAGGATCTGCACATGGAAATTCAGAATCGATTATGGTAGAAAGAGAAAGACATGCAGAGTGATATTTCCTAATTCTTCTTCTACCTTCTCCCCTATTCTTTTATTGGAGGTGAACCCTCTCGGAGAGGTTCTTGAGTTGGGTAGTATCCCAACAAAACTAGTATCAGAGCCGATGTTGGCAACTAGGACGGTCACCATGGAGGACCGTTTGGACAAGTTGGAAGTTGACGTGCACAAGGTATTTGGAGAACTTAGAGAACTAAAGGAGACTCTGTCTGGGGTGGTGACGCAATTCTCTAGTTCTATCAGCCGTGATCCGTGAGTCAGAGGTTCAAGGCATCACACCAAAGGGATCAAGTCAAAGTGGTTCATGATGTGGTGGGGGACCCATCACTTCGACACCCAAGTTGGACTTCTCTCCATTCTCAAGTGAGGACCCGATATCCTAGGTTTACAAATCATAATGTTATTTTAAATATTTTGATATCATCAGCCTGTAGAGGGTGACTATTGCTTCCATATACTTGACTGGTGATGCCCTATTCCCGGTCACACCCTTTCCCATCTTGGGGTGATCTCACTAAGGTAGTGTACTAGAGGTTTGGCGCTACCAACTATGATGACCCAGACAAAAATCTTAGTAGAGTAAAACAGATGGGGACGGTTTTGGAGTACCAGAACAAGTTTGAGAAGCTTGCCACCCATGGCTGGCCTAAAAGAGCCTTAGTTGGGTGTAGACCTGTTCATGCGCCGGCTAGTCCGACGGGCCTGGCCCAATCTAAGTTGGGCTTGGACAAGATTTCAGGCCTACGGGCTCGGGCTCAGGCCTAAAATATCGGACCCGATTTTTTTTTTTTCGTGTCGGGCTCAGGCTTTCTCAAAAAGGCCCGGCCCAAGCCCAAGCCCGACTTGATAATGTATTATATTAATAAAAATATATTTTATATAATAAAATATATATATATATAATATTTTCTTCTCCTTTTTCAAGTAATAATGAAAATTTTCATTATTTTTTTTAGGTTTTGAGGTCTTTTAGTATAAATAAAATAACTTTTAATTGAATTAAAAATGAAAAATCTTTTTTTTTTCTAAATTTCTAATCGGGCCCGGGCTTTGGACTTTATAGTCGAGTCGACTTGGGCTCGGGCTTGAACATTTTCTGTTAATGTAGAAGCAAAGCCCGGCCCATGAACAGGTCTAATTGGGTGCTTCATCAGGAGTTAAGAGATGAGATCATATTGGAGGTCAAGGCTTGGCAACTTGCGACTGTGGCCGCTGTTGCCAGCCTCGCTCGCATCATGAAGAGCAGTTGAACCACTTAAAGAAAGTGACCCGACTCCCCATCCCAAACAAAAAGATTTATTCGGAGCAACCTAAGCCCACAGGTCTTGGACGGAACCCTACCTTGCCATATAAGAGACTTAATTGGGTTGAAATGCAAGATAGGTGCAACAAGGAATTATGCTACACGTGCGATGAGAAAATCACACTCGGCCGTCACTATAAAACACAACAAGCATTCTTACTACAAGGCGAGGATGAAAGAGTAGACCTGGCAAAAAATTGACCCAATCTGCGGACCCGACCTAATCCAACCCGAAAAAACAGGGTTTAGGGTCTCATATTTAGTTGCCCAAATGTGAAAATGACCGACTCAACCCAAATCGACCCGAAAAGCTGGGTTGGGTTGGGTTGGGTCATGGGTCAACCCGCTGACCCGATTGTCAAATCTAATTGGGATTATTTATGCATTGTTAAAAGTTTCCACTCTTTAATTTTTTCTATTTAATTTTTACTTTTTATTGTTTACTCTTTAAATTGTTAAATTTTTAAGTTTTTTATTTTTTATTTGGAATTTTAAGGTTAATTCTTTTAATTTTGACATTTTTTATGTAATTTTTCTTTATTCTTTTAAATTTCAATTATTTGTTAGGATGACCTGAATTGATCCATGAATCAACCCTAACCCAAAATTCAATCCGACCCAAAATCAACCCAAAGTATCTTGACCCAACCTGAACCCGACTCACCCAACCCAATTGCCAGGTCTATGAAGGAGAAATCAAACCGGGCTAGAAAAAGGGGCAACTCGGGATCACTGAACCTGAGCCATCCCATCTCTCTCCATGCCTTAAGTCCTTAACAATTCAAGTATCCCCGCAAACCATGAGGTTGAAAGGGTAGATTGAAGGCAAAATCATGATCATTTTGTTGGACCGTGGAAGTTCCATGAATTTTGTTACTCAAACCCTAACCAAACAACTTCTATGCAAGGGCAAGAATTGGTAGTGGACCTACACCCACTTGGATTCCGCAGGGCTAATATAGTTTTGGGCATCCAACGATTAAGCCAATTGGGCCACGTCATCTGTACCTGGGCCCAAATGACCACGGAATTCTCCATTGATTCTCGAAGTTATAAGTTGATTGGGAACCCCAAGCAAGGAACCCGAGTTGAGGGATATGGTTCCGTATTGAAAACATGCTAGACCGAAGGGAGCCCAATTGTCATGTAGTTGGGATTGGGCCCAAAATAATAGACAACATTAAGCGGGAACTCAGCAAGAAGGAAGTAAAAGGTGTGAACTAGTGATAAAATGACACATCATAGTTAACACTTTCAACGTTGTTATGCCATTGTTTGTTTGCAGTGCAATTATATGCATAGGAGTGCAAACAAGTTGAATTCAAACTTTGATTTAATTGGGTTATAAGTTTTATTTTGTTTCATTTATTTGTAGAAAAAATAAAACCTTATGCAAAATAAAATCCAAAGCAAAAATGAACTAAAATTTATAATTTTCTCATTGGCACTCCCATACATTTATACTAGAGCAAACGAAATTATATTGCAAACAAACATAACCTAAAGTCTTGATGGTAACTACACCTTGTGAAATGCGAAAATACAACTTATAAAATGTGAAGGAATGAACGACAAGTAGACCATGTGCATCTTTAGCATGAATGCATGATTTTGTTGAAACCTTGATTTAGCATGCATCAAATATTTGTAAGTGCACCATAGTTGGATTTGCATTTTCAGTACCAAGATGTATTTTTACCAAACAATTGCAAAAGTAAACCGGAGTACAAAACTTACCTTGATTTTGTATTTGCACTTTTACCAAATGCAACCCAAATTCTAAGACTATATTTGGTTGCAGTGCAACTTTCACTAATGCAAAACTATGGTAGTGCAAATAGTTTGGATACATATTTTGATTTATTTTTGTTTCAAAGTTTACCTTATTTTGTTTTGATCGCTGTACAAATGAAGTAAAAATAAAATCTAAATAAAAATGAAGTTGTTTCAAGACTTGGCTTTATTTCTCTTGCTGCCTCATAAATCATAAATGATAAATCAGGGGGCTGTAGTTTTTTTCTTTGTATTTAAGCATCTTAATATAAATATAAGTTTTGTGGGGCTGGGTAGACATTCAATCAGTTGCCCCTTCTTCTTCTTCTTCTACAACCAAAGGTAGTAAATTAAACCAGAATTTGCCTGAGGGTCCTACTTAAAAGTAATGAAAAGATGTCAAAGGCCCCGATGTGTGATTCCGAGGCAAAGACTCCGATGGTTAAATCAACCAAAGACTCAAGGAAACTGGAGTGAAAAGAGTGCAAGAGTAATTAAGAAGTTAAGATTGTGTAAGATAGTTACATATAGCTCTGAGTCCATATTTATAGTTAAGGCGTCCCTAGTTCATGCATAGTGTACACTTGGTAACATCTCTGCACATTGGGGTGTCATTAAGTGGGAGGCCATTAAGGTGTAAACCACCATGCGGCTGAGTTTTACCCAAGGTTTTAAAAATTGACCCGAAAATGGAACCATTCTAGCTACCGGTTTCCAGGTCAGTGGAGAACTAGAGAACTGGAGAAGAGACTATTGTTGGCTGAGAAAGAAAAAAAAAGAARGAAAGAAAGGAAGAAAGGAAGGAAGGAAAAAGGAAAAAAAGAAAAGAAGAGAAAGGAAAGGAGTGAAGGAAGAGGGAGGATGGAAGGAGGGAAGAAGAAGGAAGATGAGGATGATTCGACCCTCATCGGCGACGATAATGGTGACGACGACAATAGACGTAGATCTGAGATCTGAGTTCTCGGATCTTAGATTTGAGATCGATTTCTCTGCAATGTCAGTGTTTTCTTCTTCTTCTTCTTCTCTCTCTCTCTTTGTATTGGATCTCAAATCTGAATTTGTGTGTTTTTTTCCTCTCTGCAACTTTCTTAAATTGCAAAACACTGTTTGAGTCAAACGAGTCGACGGTTCGACCACCCAGATCAACGCTTTTTTTTTTTTTTTTTTTGATGAAAATGATTTTTAACCCAAGAACAAGAGTTACGAGTGAAACAGAATGAATTGCTTAGGCGATTTATGGACTGAATTCGACCATCTGGGTCAACATGGTTCAAAAACATTAGTTTTACCCAGAGGCTTGACCGAGGTTAATAACGCTTGCCATTAAGGCTCCGCATTAATCAAGGGTGAAAAGGATGATGATGCCCCTCCGAGTCCATGAGATGATGGGATTGTCCCTACAGGTGTGTCACACGTTGTCAGTTTGGTGTTGAGTGTGAATTTGGCTACATCACTTTTCATTTGTACTCCCATACACTTGTAATAGTCCAAATAAAATTGTACTACAAGCAGCCTAAAATACATTTTTTCCTGTTCAAATATGCAAACATAGTCTGAAGTCTTGATATTAAGTAAACCTTGTGAAATGTTAAAATACAACCAGCTGATTGGTAAGGTCTATTACTAGTCGTAGTAGAGACTAATCCTACCTGGGTTGGGGAATGGGTTACACCATGTAGCCTTTCAAAAGATATCAAAAAAATAAAAGATAAGTGAAGCATCTAACATCTTTAGTGACTTGTTGAAATTTCATTTAACATGCAACAAATATTTATAAATACTAAGAGAGTCTAGATCTATTGCTCACGCTCCTTTCACCACCGTTCTCACGAGCACATCTCACTGTATATGAGAATTGGGATCTGCTCCTTACATAGCATGCCTCACGCTGATCTCACAGTCACATTCCACCCTATAATGGGAACATCTCCCCATGAATAATAAATTCAAAGACGGGCATAATGAGGAGTAGATCTAGACTCATGGGGATCATCTTACAAGTCTTATCAATAGACCTGTTCATAGGCCGGGTAGCCCAATGGCCCGGCCCGCACCCCGATCGGGCTTGGTCATGTAATTAGGCACGCAAGCCTGACCTCGGGCCTAACACAGTAAGCCCGACTATGTTTCGTGCCAGGCTCGGGATTTGTCAAAAAAGCTCGACCCGGCCCAGCTTAGCATTATATATTTTATAAAATATATAATATGTATTTTATATATTATATAAAATATATAAATAATATAATATTTATTAAAATATATATTTATAATTTAATATATATATTTTTTATTCTTTTCTTTATAATTTCTCTATCTCTCTCTATTCAGCCGCTTTAGTAGTAGTAATAGTAACAGTATGGGCTAAATTTCGGGCTCGGGCCCAGGCCTGGGCTTCGGGCTTTTTATGAGGGCCGGGCTCGGGCCCAAGTTATAGGCCCGATGGTTGGACCGGGCTCGGACTCGAGCCTTAAAAAAATCTGTTAATACAGAGTGAAAGCCCGACCCGAGCCCGGCCCAGCCCATGAACAGGTCTACTTATCAAACAATTACAAAATTGAACTGTAGTACGAATTTACCTCGATTTTGCATTTGCACTTTTATCAAATGCTATTTTGCTGCTCGAAAATAAAAAGCACCATGAATAAGTTTACCCAAACACAACCTGAGTTTTTTATTCACGATTCGAGGGCTCCCGTGAGGCCGTGGCAGACATTGCCCGTGATTTCAGCAATATCGTCATTATATTTTGAGTTGAGGCTGCAACAGTGGACTCCGGCAGCGGGCAAAGAGTTTGAACGGTGATATTCAGCAGCAACCAATGTGGGGAAGTGCAGAAGGGGGGCCTCCGGAGGTCACTCTTGAGACCTCCATGGGCTCTTTCACTGTCGAGGTCTCTTTCTCTCTTTCCGTGTGTGTGTGTGTGCGTCTGTTCTACTTGCGAAACTGTTTACTAACTACAAAATGGTGGGTGGCAGCTATACTATAAGCACGCGCCAAGAACTTGCAGAAACTTCATCGAGCTCTCTCGAAGAGGTTACTACGACAACATCAAGTTTCACAGAATTATTAAGGTTTTTCTTTTTTTCCCTCTTAATTTCCTTTTCCAACAAATAAAACGTGCTTTTCTTATCCTTTGGTGGATTTTATTATGTGTTTTTATTCAGGATTTTATAGTGCAAGGTGGAGATCCTACAGGGACAGGGAAGGGCGGAGAATCGATATATGGGTAAGTGTTCTTCTTCTTTTTCTAATTATTAATTTTATTTAAATAGTAGTTATTATATAAAATTTGAGGGTTCTTTTTGTATTAATTTGCTTATTGCTTTTATCCAGAATTTTTTGAAAACTTCATTTTCTCCATTCCTTTTTGCTTCTTAGACTTAGCGATTGTTACATAGGCTATGTAAATTGTGAGGGTTCTTGTTTTATTGGGTTGTTCATTGCTTTTTAACCAGCTTTCTTTTGTTGAAAATTCAGTTATTTCTCTCATTCTTTTTTTCCCTTCTTAGAGTTCTACTCAAAAAAAAAAAAAAAAGAAGAAGAAGAAAGAAATTGTTACGTAGGCTTCGTTGTTATACTGAAATATTTCAGCTATATTTCTTCCCCTTAAGATTGAAACAAACACAGATATACGAAAATTATCCACTTTATTATTGTTCATATATATTATTTGGGGTTTATAAATTACTTGCGTTTCATGATATGATTCGGCAGCTGGCTTCATCTTATTTATTTTTCTACTTTTGACGTGATTATCAAAAGATTTACGGCTTTCCAGCAGTCTGGATTGTCTTCTGCAATTTTATTTCTACATTCTCAATTACAACTGATCTACAGCAACTGTAAGAAGTAATTTGTTGCAAGTTGAAGGGGCTAGAATGGCTAGTAGTGGACTGTAAAGAACATGGGTTGAAGTGGTAAGAAATGATTTAAGCACTGATAATTTACAATGGATATGACACTAAACAGAACAGAATGGTGAAACAGGATAATGTAGCCAATCCCATTACAATTGAGGCATCTTGCCCTCCTCTATAGTAATACAAATTCCTTTTATCAGTTATGAAAAAATGATGATGAAAATTTATAACGAAGATGTTGATCATCCTTTCATTGGCTTTTATGTTTATTTAACTTCTATTTCACAATATTCAAAACATACAACTTTAATAATTTTTGCTATGGTACAACAAATATAATTGACTTTACTCGCTTATGATCGTAAAATATTTGATTGTGTTAAATTTATCAAAAAAAAAAAATGGTTGTGTTAAAGACAAATGGATGTTGTTTGACATGTTGAACTTCTTCCCTTTAAGGGTTCCAGTTGTGACTTCTGTGTTAATGCTCTACAGTTCCAAGTTTGAGGATGAGATAAAGCCTGATTTAAAGCATACTGGAGCAGGAATATTATCCATGGCAAATGCTGGTCCAAACACCAATGGTAGCCAATTCTTTATCACTTTGGCGCCAGCTCAATCACTTGATGGTAAGGATATTTTTTGTTAAGTATCCATCATAATCCATTCATCAATTTCTTTGAAATACTATTTGAACAGTTTTTTTTCCTCTTTGCATGTTTGTACTTGTCTATACATAGCTTGTGGTGTATAGCTCATTTTGTAATGACAGAGTAATATATGCCAGTGCATTTTTATAAATTATGACTTTTCTTAAATTTTAATCATTCTTGATGGCCCTATTTTCTATCTGTTGAGTTGCAAAGTCAAGGCATGGGAGTCTCTTCTATTATTATGTGAGGACAATTTTGTCATTATACGGTTTATTATAAATACCAACTAGAAGGGCTCAAAGCCCATGTTTTTGCTTTCTCAAACTTTTCCTTTCTTCTTTTTACTTCTTTCTTCCTCCTCTCTTGTCTAATCCAATCTTTTAGTCCATCAAACTCACAATTCTATATAACCTTATCTTTCTGCCTGATCTTTAATTTCTAAGTTCCTTGGCTCATTGATGTCTATGGTATATTATAAATCCCTACTCATTTCTTGTTTGTGAGGAACAAGTTTTTGATTTTTTGTCCTTAATTACTTAGACAATATGCATAAAGACAAGGATATTGGGGAACTCGCTAATAGTTGGTATGGCTAAAATGGATGGGGAGAGAGGAGCTATATATTGGGGAGTGTCCCTCCCTGGATATATACTGTTTATATGTTTATTTGGTTTATTATATGTTTGGCCTTCATATTTTAGAGGCTTTGTATCTGGTTTCTTCCTCTTTGGGGAATCTAAATGATTATATTCTAGTTCAGATTTTATTACATTTTAATGAAACACTTTGATGTGGTTAATGTCCAAATAACATTTGTAAAGATGTGCTTTGCACATTTTGTTATTTCTGCTAAATGTTATATGACATAGCGGGAAACATAAGAAAGAATAGTACTATTATCTTTCAAAAGGAAAACAAAACCTTGAATTTACGAGGAGAGAGAAATAGTATACTGCCTTATTTATAAACCCTGAAAGGCTTTTCCAAAAATAACAAAACTGCTAAAAACAGTAAAATTCAAATTCAACCCAAACTTCATAAACAGGGATTCTTAAATTCAACGAAGACTTGCTAAACAAACCTGAACTCAAAATATGCTAAAACAACCAAAAATAGAAAACTTACTATAAAAGATTTTTTAGGCTAAAAAGATGGAATTTGGAATTGAAAACCACAAATGAATCTCTTAGATTTATTTTCCACTATGTAGAGCTCATCAAGATGATCACTTTGACATATTATATGTTAAGAATGGATGAACTCTGCTACTGTTAGCTTGTACACTTCTGGTCCAAGCTTGGATAAAGGAGGAAGGTTGCATCAAGGTGGTAGCCAGCACTAGAACTTTTGTCAAACTCTCATGATCATGGATTGTATTTTGGCAAGGGTAATACATTGGTTGAGAACCACTACTTTGTTCTAGTCTGTCTTCTTTGATGAGTCGTGGAAGTGTTGGTCAGTAGTGCGTCCTATGCCTAGCAGTTCATCTTGTAAGAAAAGAGTAATTGCACATTGGGTTCATCCTCTTGAAGGGTTTATTAAACTGAACTTCGATGGAAGCAGTCAAGGTCAATGTTTTAAAACACGGAGGCGTGATGCAAAGTGTTCTACTACTTGGAGGTGTGAGGTCTAGTTCAGAACGTAAGAGGGGTAAACCTCTTGAACACAAGGAGGCATAAGCCTAAGAGGAGGCTTACACCCCTTCCTCTTCTTCCTCCTCCTTCCTCCTTCCTCCTGACCCCCCCTCCTCTTAAGGAGGCTTACGTCTCCTTGTGTTTGGGAGGTTTACGCCTCTTACGTTCTGAACTACGCCTCACTCCTCTAGGTAGTGGAACACCTCACATCACGCCTCCGTGTTTTAAAACATTGGTCTGGAGTGATTAGTAATTGAAGGTGACTCTAAGGTGGTTGGTGGATTCAGATTCGGTTGTTTGGTGTTTTTAGGGAACTTATAAAGAAAATTAAATGACTGACAAGAATATGAATGTGGGGTGTCAATTGGTACGTAGGTCGGCAAACAAAATGACTGATTCTCTTGCCAAACAAGGGGTAAACAGGGATAAGCTTGTTATGGACAGCTCTTTAGTTGTTTCTTTTCTTTGGCTGGTTATAGCCTCTTTAAGAGTGAGGCCACACCTCACAGCTCACTCTTGGATGCTTGTAAATGTTCTATCCTTTGATTAATAAAATTACCATTCAATTATAAAAAAAAAAGATAGACTTCACAGTCTTCCTCATCTTCCCTTTTCTGTCATCATAATTCCCATTTTTTCCAGATATTTTTTGTTTTTGTTTTGCTTTTGTGCAAGCCACCAGCTCTGCCAGATAGGTCAGTCAATACATTAGGTCCAATTGAATCAGATTTGGCTATCCTCTAAAGTCAACTGGGTTGAATTGGATTTAAAATGTGGTCTTTTTTGTTATTGGTTTGAATTGGATATTTTTTTATCCAATCTGATAACAATTCAATCTGGGTTGACTAAGCTGCAAGTGATACACTATCATATTTATTATTAAAAAATCAATTTGGATTTTATCAATTGGAAGAATCATCTCTTTTACCATCAGTTTCCGTTCGCTGTTACTTCTCCAATGCCAACAGTAGAACTTTTAGCTACTTGCTAGCACATGTAAAGGAACTGCAGAGGAGTGATTAACACCAGTGACCTTCAACTTATTGATGATTGAGATCTTCAAATCAGTCTGTAATGGTTTCAGTATGCACCCTACGGTTGTTCTGTGACATCAAAGAAAGTACCCTCTACTTTAGCCCTCTCTGCAAAAGTACCAGATGATGATTTTCTAACAACTGCTGGCATGTTGTGTATGGTCAAATTTAACAATCCCTGATCCCAGACTTACTGGTCACCAAAGATAGAGAGTTCTGTAGTACCAAAGAAAGTATTCTCTACTTTAGCCCTCTCTGTTGAAGTACCAAATGGTGATTCTCCAACAACTGCTAGCATGTTATAGTGTATGGTCAAATTTAACAATCCCTGATTCCAGACTTACTGGTCACCAAAGATAGAGAGTGCTGACACTTGGTATCAGTTCCATATTCGACAAGTTGGGTAAGGAAGCAAGACATGTCTAATGGTTTGAAGGGAACAGACAGATGTATAAACTTGTGGATGACTAAATTTCAGGAGCAGAGTTGTGCCATATCATTTCTCCTTATCATGACTCGTGATTTCTTTGATGTCACTAACTCTGTATTGATGTAACTTAAGGGGCTTTGTTTTCTTCTAGAAATTTTTTGTTATTGCAAAATCAATTTCAATTTTTGTTTTGATAGTGCTTAATGCTCATTAATGATTTTGTTTGTTCCAGGAAAACACACAATATTTGGAAGAGTGTGTAGAGGGATGGAAATCATCAAAAGACTTGGTAGTGTTCAAACTGATAATAATGACAGGTATAAATTTTATGGTATAAATTATTCTAATAAATTCTTAGCTTAGAGTAATGGTCATTCTAACACATACAGATTGGTCAAACCTGCTGTGTCTATATTGGTCCTGTTGGCTTTGGAGGTTCTACTTGGGCAGAACTGTGGTTAGAGCTATGTGGACCAGGGATGGTCTACGGCAAAGTCCTTAAACTTTGGGGATTTATTGATTGAAGGAGATTGACATGTGATAGTTTACTGGATTAGTATTGATAAAAAAAAGTTTACTGGATTAGAAACAACTACTCAGGATTATCTGATCATGGAGGTGTAGACAAACTTTGAGGGGGGTTAATAAGCTGGCATTGGAGCTTGGACTAACTAAAAGTGGATACCATGTTCAGACCATGGTTTCCAAGGCGATACCTAGGTGAGGGGGGTTAATAAGCTGGCATTGGAGCTTGGACTAACTAAAAGTGGATACCATGTTCAGACCATGGTTTCCAAGGCGATACCTAGGTGACTAGGCGCTCATGGAGGGTTGCCTTGCTTAAATGCCTAGCTATTCTCTTTTTATTATTTTATTATTTGTTAGGGTTCAATCAGCACACATGGTGTATGCTGTCTTGAACCCTTGAAGACTTGAAAACCTGAACTGAATATGTAGATTTGTTAGGCTTCTTCCTTGTTTTCTCATTTTTCTTCCCATGAATATGTTGATTTGCCATGATGGGTCTTAATTTTAATATGATTTCAAACACTTTGGGGGATAGAAAATGGGGACAATCCATCACTTTGGGGTGTTTGGCATTTTATCGTATTGTGAATATATCCAATTCTTTTTTCATATCAATAGAGTTACATGTTACAAATGAAAAACATGTTGAATTTCTATTTTGAAAAAACCCATTGCCTAGGTGACAAGGCTAAGTGCTCCCCTTATTGCCTAGCCTTGCCCTGGCACCTTGAAAACTATGATTCAGACAATAGCCTTGTTGTTGCATTGGGGTTTAATTCACCAAGGGGGGAGCTTAGAAATTTTTAGGTGGAGGTTAAGCAAGGTTTGCTGCCCTCAAGAGGGTGCTTGGCACATGATAATTGTATTATTTTTTACAATATCAATAAAATCTTTAACATTTTCTGATAAGAAAAACTGGCCATACATATATGCCCACCTCAGAGATGGATACCTGTTTAGATAAAGGTCAACCTGATTTCTTTCCAATTCCACTAGAGGGAAGATGAATCAACACAGAGTCACAGATACACAAGTGGAGATGCGTTGACATGAATTTAGACACATCCAATGCGTATACCCCGAATCCTTTTTTTTTTTTTTTGATCGATAACAAAGATTTCATTAATTAAACAGAATAATTAATTACAGAGGAGGGGAGATAAACTTTCTTAACTCCCCCCACAAAGGCAAAAGCCCTTGAAATGAAAAAACAAAAATTATATGAGAACACCCCCCTTGTGCCTGAAAAGGAGAGAGAGGTTAGGGTTTTTTATGAGCCAAGAGGGATGAGATCTTTCATGTCTACTTGGGGCTTGTTGGAGTTGGTGATTTTATTCATACCGAGATGCTGTTTCTCTTAAGAGGTTTGAGGCTGATTTTCTTTCCTTAAATTCTGTTTCTCTTTGGAGGGTAGAGGGAAAGCCTTGTTCTGCTGGATCAGGGGATCTAGCCATGAGCTAGTTGATTCCTTAGCCAGGAGTGGAGTAGAGCTCAGTTGCATTGGGGTTCAATCTTTATAGAGCAGCCTCCGTAAGTATATATGGGGGCCAACAGGTTAACTTGAGTATTTTATTTTCTTTTGCTCCTTGTTTTTGCCTTGTTGCATGTATGTTCTTCACTTATCATTGTTAGTGAAGCTCATTTTGTCTAGTACGAGGGAGAGAAAAAAGTCTGGGCATTATTCTGCTTCCTAGTGCAGGAAATTATGTAATGTTAAAACCTAGATTCGTAATATCATTCTGAAATGATCTATAGCTGTGGAGGATTCCTGTGTAAACCTTTTTTTTTGGATAGGCAAATTCCTGTATAAACCATTTGTATCCACATTTGTGTCCTTAGTGGCAATGTAACTTCAGTATTTATTGAAACTGCTGTTGGGTTGGGTGACCAAGAAATAACAAGCCCTTAAAATGAACCTAGGCCTAGGGGGATCTAATGCAATTTCAGGAGCTGGGTAGCTGAAAAAGACATGGTTTGAAGTGCTATTAGCCTATTTGGTCTTTATCCAGTTCACCCCTCCCAAGACCCCAGATAGCTGGTATCAACTGTAGAGAATCTACAGGCTGATTATCTATCTTATATTTGTTTACTTATTTATGGGCTTGGGTCTACTCTTGTATCATGTACAGCATCATATGTGTATGGCTCCTTAATTATTCTTGTAAGAGGACATGATGATCCTTTCTCACTGTTTTTAATCATTAATCATTCTTTGGGGTGTGTGCTACTGTTGATGCCCATTCAAATTGTTCTCTTTTTTCAAACTGCTCTTGATATGGTATCAGAGCAAGTTCCCTTTGCCATCTGTTGGTTGATGTTTTGAATTGTGGATTAGAGAATTCAATCAAGGGTTTTTTCAGTCCTTGAGACCTGCTCTAGTTTGAAACCTTTTGAAGCTGTTTTGAAGGATGTATTGATCAGCATAGGTTCTTCTGTTTTTTTCTTTTCTTTTTTTTTGGAAAATTGTGGTGCAGAGACCAAGTTTTTTGGAAAGTTATGGCTCTTTCAGTAAGAGGGTACAAGTGTATGATAGGATTAAAAAGTTTTTATTGAGGCTATGTTGGAATTTATTCTGTTTATTTTTTAAGTAGGATTATTAGGTAGTTAGAGCTGGTTTGGGAGTTAAGAGCCCATTTTTGAGTGTCCTTATAGGTTTTTCTTAGTTCTAAAGCATTTTGGAGTTGTTTTTGATCAATTTCTTAGTTCAAAACCATTATCTTGAGTCCATAAATAAAGCTATTATGATTGAAAATTAGGAGAGTTAAATTTTGATTAGTAAATTCTAGTTGTAGTCAGGTCTCTCTCTCTTTCTCTCTCTCTCTCTCTCTCTCCCCATTACTTATCTTCCTAAATCTAAAGTGCTTCATTGCTGGACTCTAATTTCTTTCTCATTATTTGGTTAGCAGCAAGTTATCTACTTTCTTCTCCATCTCTATTCTTAACCATCAATCGCACAAATTGTCTTCTTCACCCTATTTTATTTATCTGCTATCATTAGGAGCTGTATATATATTTCTGGATTTAAAATTTGTTATTTTCTTGCATCTTTTCTCAACACATACACCAATATAATTAAAAAGAAAATGGAAAAGAATAACATTTCCATGATTAAAATGTCCTTAAAGGAATCTTCTCTTGGCTAAGGGATCCTTTGGAGTTCCCCCTATAAAGTTTATATATTAAAGGTATTATATGTTTCATATATTCATCCAAATCATCAAGTGATAGTGATTCCATTTTGCAATGTTTTACTTAAGTTATCCCAAATCAGTCAGGTCCAATGCAAAATTTTGCTAGTTTTTCTTTTCCTTTTTTTTTGTGACAAAATACGAAAATAGCAGTATCATTTGTTTGTTATTTTTTAGTAATGGTATGTCTCGTTAGATCAAGATTAGTATTGTCAAGGATTTGGTTTTATTATCACTAGTTGCCTCTGTTCCCTGCGACCTGTCCACTCAGAAGCAAGAATTATGAAATAAGAGTACCAGTACCGGAAAATCCTCTGGTATGTTTTACTAAAACCAAGGTGATCAATGCTATATGCAGCTCAAGATACTTTGTCATTTACTTTTTCTCCCGCTATCTTGGGGAAAACCATATTTCTTATTGTTTCCTTTCTACAGGAGTATCACCGATGACTATTCTTTAAATCTGAGCAATACTGATTTGTTTTACTATGTTGATACAGACCTATTCATGATGTGAAGATATTGCGGACCACAGTCAAAGATTGATGTACTACTATTTGGGACGAGGCCAAAGGTTGATGGGCCAATGTTACTATCTAGTGAGGAATGCTTCTGAATCATGTTCTTATATAAAATGTTCATTAACATTGTATGGGTCGTTCCTTTAATTCTCGGGATAGAGACTCCATTCAGAAATGAACTGTGATGGATCTACCAATGGCAGGTTGCTTGTGTTAGTGTAAAATGACGCACTGTTGACTATCAATATCTATATTATTTGAATGTGATTTCTCTTGAGTTGAAATACAGGAAGCATTGAGCAGCATCTCCCTAAAGAGGTAGAGCTTAGTTGAAAACATAAGAGCTACAACCAAACTGGATTCCTCTTACCAACTAACACACGCACACACCACACACACACACAAAAAAAAAAACCGTATTCCTTGTCCTAGGGGCAAGTCCCCAAAGGGAAGTTGTCCATTAAATTCTGTTATAGGATGACAAGGAATGGGCGAGAGATAGAAACTAATCAGTCATTACCGAACAAGTTATGAATAATTAATTGTTGGCCAAAGGTTCAGGTTCTTATGTAGGTGATACTTTTTCTGAGAGAAGAAAACACTAACAGGGTGTTATATCATATCAATAAGCAAAAAGGCTATTCAGGAGCGGAGATAAAAGCCCAAACAGAATTCAGGGCAGAGTCACTGCTATACAAAAAGCAAAACTCCAGTTTTGGCCAAGTTATCTGCTGTAGTATTGAAATCTTTTGGAATCCAACTAAAACTCACATAGGGTTGTCTAACTAGGTCCCTCACTTTGGAAAGTGATTCAAGCGCCACGGTCCTCCCTGCTCACAACGCAGCCAGCTGATGGTGGTTACTGAGTGACCAGCCACGTGAAAGTGAGGGAAACCGAGTTGCTTGGCTAATTTCAATCCTGTAAGAGCAGCCAAGGATGGCCTCCCCTATTGGTCCACTGTAAACCCAGGTAACAATGCTCAACAAAGAAGAAAAAACTCCTTGAATTCCAGCTGGGCCTGGATCCGCCTAGAGAACTGCCATCAAACTTAAGCAATAAGATGGATTATGCAACCTGGGAGGGTTTCTGGCTTTCTGCTGATGTCTGGTGAAGTGAAGCCTGTAAACTCATTGGCCGCAAAGGCCCAGCAAGTGCACAAGTTAAGATGCCATCTTCAACCTCAAAGCAGGATCCGTTCTTGTTTTCAGTAATCCTGGGCTTTCTCTCTTCCCAGATTCCTCACATAACAGCATGTGGGATCAAGCTCCAGAACACCTTCCCCCTAGTACCAAAGCCACCACACTTCCATCTTATTCCTACCAAGTTAATACGTAGCATCAATTTGCAAACTACAAGATTGGATTACATAGCCTGTTGGACACATCTTGTTTGCAGCAGACTTGGAGCCTAAGAAGAAAACATGCAAGAGTTGCAGACCTAGCAGACCCTATGGGGTCTGATGATTCTACCTCATAAGAGGCCCTGGTAATTTGACAGTAAACCTGCTAATTCACTTGTTCCCTATTCTAAAATACCACTGTGAGGGGCACACGTGCATAGCATGTGTACAAGTAAAGGTAACGAAATGAAGATTTTAACAACTTTAAAGATTCAACTATAATAATGTCGCTTTATCACTGGTTCAAGTGTTATTTATTTATTTATTTTTTCTTTCACCATAGATTTTGCCTTATTTTTATTAATGGTAAAAATAGAATACAAAATTTAAAGTTGTATTAGGAATAAATCTGGTGGAAGGCAAAAAATTCAACCATCTTGGTCAACCCATGTTTTCATATTTAATATTAAAAATTTAAAAACAGATAAAAATACACAAAATTACAAAAAAAATATGAAAAATATATAGAAAAAATTATTATATGTATCGATCATATTATGCATTAATCATGTTAGACAAAAATAAGTGGCATAATTAAGAATCATTTGTTTTGATAATGGAAATGGAATAAAAAATTTAAATCAATAGCGGAGAAAACAACGAAATCATTTGAACATTTCAAACAAAAGGTTCGACTACGCTATCAAAAAGATTTGACATTAAAAAAACTTATAACCAAACAAAAGGTACTCCGCGACACCCATGAAGGCTTGTGCGGYGGACACCTGGGGGGCAGAGCCCTCGCCCAAAAGGCATTTCGACAAGGATACTACTGGCCAACAATGAAGACAGAGGCAATCGAGCTCATCAGAAAATGCGACAAGTGTCAGAAGCATGCCAGCATCCACCATCAGCCCGCTGCYGACCTCAAATACCTCACCAGCCCATGGCCCTTCGCCCAATGGGGCATCGACCTCCTGGGGCCATTCCCACCAGCGACAGGCGGGAGAAAATTCCTAGTGGTGGCAGTAGATT